ATCATTAAGTAGTTGGAATAGGTATTATAAATGCGGACGAGAATATTGATGCAGGTTAGCGCTTGAGTAAACTATTTATTAGTAGGATTATCAAAAATTGTATGTACAACAAGACCGCTACACAAGTACTGATCCAGCCCTTCTTTTTACCCGGCGGTTCGTCACACGCCACGGGCCTGCTGGGTCTCTTTCTGACCACATATCTGTCCCTTACAGCGCTGCTGTCCTGTCTCCCCTGGGTAACTGGGCTCACGATGTTGTGGAAGTTAGATTTCGGTCAGAACCCGCTATGGCAGTAGAAACTCGCCCAGGCCAACTGGGAGGTGCGCAGAGACTTCTTCTCCACCTTTCCTTGGGGAGATGTTTGTTTTGGCGAGTCGGATGCATCGGCTGTCTGTTCATCGATAACCGAAATTATCCACGTTGGGACAGAGGAATACATCCCTCATATGACCTAGTGACCTTAGACCAGGGTCCAACGGCTGGTTCAACAAACCGTGCGACACTGCTCGACAGCAGAAGATCAAGGCACAGAACCTTCTTACAAAGAAAACCTCACTGTAGAGAACAGGCAAGCTGACGTCGAGTCCAGAAACAAATATGAAGAAGCGATCCGCAATGCACGCTGACCAAGCAGATTGAAAGGAACTTCTCACACAGTAGCCTTCCGCACCTACTTGTCGGGATGGAACAATTGTAACCAACTCAAAACCTAAGGCAGAAGTGCTTGCCAAGATATTTGCTGCTAACTTCACAATGGACGTCCCCCAGCGCCCGAGTGCCGTCCATTCAAAGGGGAAGTAACATTGCGGCACAAGACCTTGTCGCTCAACATCAACAAAGTTTCTGGCCCGGACTTGATCCCTGCCGTTCTATTGGAGAAGTAGCTTACTCCAGTTCTTGAGTGTCTCTCGCAAAATCTCTTACGAATCCAGCATCTTCCCAGAAAGCTGGAAATCTGTTCATGTCCAACTCATCCCAAAAAAGTTATCTAAGAACGACCCTTATAACTACAAACCTGTAGCTCTGCTTTCTGTTTTAACTAATGGAGAGGGGCATACATGGCGAGCTTCTGGACTACCTTGAAAGTCACGGCTTGATTAGCGACAGGCAGTGTGGTTTCCGGCAGCAGTGATCCACATTGGACCTCCTAGCTACGTCACGAAATTGTGGAGTAAACTGATCCGGACTCATCCTGAGGCTAATGTCATTGCTCTTAATATCACGAAAGCGTTTGATCAGCTGTGGCACGCTGCCCCCATAAGCCAACTTCCCTTCTATGGACTCTCAGAGAAGTTTTGCAGATGGATGGCTAACTTTCTCTCTGACCACAAGATATTTGTCGTAATTGAGGGGTTCTCCTCTTCCTCCCAGAGGAGGGCTGTAAGACGATGACTCTCTTCTGGGGATACGTTCGCACCGGCGGACCGTCGGCTATCTAGCTCTCTTTTACCGCTACAAAAACGCTTTTTACTCCTCAGAGCTCTGTTCCATGATGCCGCCGCGCCATGCTAACCGTGTCGAACTTCGTACATCTAGAATTGGCTGATACGACACCTCCTTTGTATCGAGATTATGGAACAATCTACAAGAGGAGGCTTTACCCAGTTCTATTTCGGTGTAAATAAAAACATAGCAGAACAGTTATTATTCCTTTATTTACGAAATAGATGAGACAAATAAATTATTAAGTAACACTACTTCTACTATGCAACTCATTAAATATTCTTTATTGCAGAATGAATGATTATTTACTTAATTTTTTTATTAACTGTCCACCAGTAACTATCAATAATTTGTTACAAATTCCTCAATCAAATCATGCGAAATATCTCGGAGGCCATTTAGATAAAGCTGTCACTGGACAACAAGCTATTACTCTATAATGCTTTGTTAAAGTCAATTTGGACTTATGACATCCAGTTATCAGGCACATCGAGCAACAGCAATATTGCCGTCCTTCACCGGTTCCATAACAAGTTCCAGTTAATGATCATCGACGCACCATACTACGTTCCCAATGAAGTAATTCAGTCCGACATGCATCACCCTACGAACCAGGAAGTAATCCACTAGTTCAGTGTTAGATACATTGAAAGGGTTGAAACACTTTTTTCTACCGCATCCGCGTGCAGAAAGTTGCATAACTTTTCCGCACGCATTTCGTGTTACAGGTATTCATATTAAATTGATTTATTTTTTTTGTTGTTGATGGAAATGATTTCTTCAGTTACGTATTTAGTCATTATTTTGTTCCTTAGTATGTACCTCACACACATGAATAAAGTTACCAAATCACTTTGATTTAAATCACATCAGCTTAGGAAATACTTATTATAAATGAATTATTGATGTGGTTGTTGATGATGTCGATTTTACAATTATTAAATTTCTAATAAAGCATAGTGTACGTATTTAAAATTCTCAGCTTATTATTTTCTCGCGCTGTTCTGTTAGAAAACGACTTATACCTAACTGTTCATGCAAGTTATAAAGCATACTTTATTATTTGAACTCAAAAGCCATACAAATTCAAACCGTTCGGCAGGTGCTCATACAAGTCAAACATGTGCACAGGAAGAAGATTTCGTGAAGTCAATCCGTTAAGATCGGAAAAGGCAACGGTTGCCTTCAAAATGTCTATAAAAGAATCCTAGTTAAGCCGGGTAAAATATATTCGCTAAGGCAAGTGTCGTGAACCTAAGAAGACGCTGTGAAGAGAGAGGAGCTCCTCCAGACCAGGCGACAGGAACACCCAGGTACGTGCCAATCCTACATTGTCTTTGTATGGCTCGGGTGTCGATTACCTTATTACCTTAATTATATGTGAACGCGATTACAGTCCCGCGGCTCTCCACAATTTAGAATAAACTTTGCAATAACACTAACACTTCCGGAATGTGTATTTTCCGCTCTTGACGGCTTGCCCGAAATCCGCATCGCGTCGCTCGTGCTGCTGCCGTCGCGTGCGGAAAAGTATCACTTTCCTCACTTGTTAGGTAAATAACTATAACGTGTTAGCAAACCGATTGTATGTATCTAATAAAGTAAATAGGTTAAAATACTATTTGCCTTCTGACTTGGTCATATGACCACTATAATCTTAATTGATAACATAAACAATCAATTCACTGTTAGATAGAAGTACCCTGCACGCTATTTTTAGTTTAGATTAGTCCGAAAAACACGGTTGTTGCACATACCGGAGTTTCGCTGCTTTCTCTTAGGAGTTATGCAAACAAAGTTCTATTAAACCCTTCTAAACGGCCTTGCAAAAAGCAAGGCCTCATAAAAGGTTAAAGAATGAATCACTCGCTTAACTTAAAGGTGCGCACGCACGCACTGAGCATACGCGCGCGCATTCGTTTGCATGCGTGGACTGTTTAAACTGAAATTCATGTTTCAACGCATGGGCTGATCTAGTCGTTCGCGTACGAGATTAAATGGAGCATAGATATATAGCCGCGGCAACATTTATTATACTGTATAATTTAATTAAAAGAAAAGAAAAACGGAAGCGAAAGGAATTAGTATTAAACAGGATGCATGATCAACTCAGAAATTTTACAAGAATGACCAAGGCTGACTTTGAATAGGTACCTGATTACGTTGGTAACACCAACGCTAATGAAAATTGATTCACAGTTTCTAAAATCTATATCACCAAGAACACGTTTAGCCATAACCTTGCATTTTTTTGGCAGTTGGAGACTCATACAGCAGCTTGCAGTATCTTTTCAGAGTGTCAAAATCTTCATTTTGCTTTTTTTCGAGACAAGATGATCCCATCAGAGTTTTAATTTTTTTTCTGTGCTTCGCAAC